CTGGGTTAATCTTTTTCACGTTTCCTGGGTTGGTAGATGCACCAGGAACCCAATTATAGCACTTAAACATGGAAAAAGTCAGATTGTTATGATATGTCACCTTTGAAAATATTCCACATTTTGTAAAATTGGGGAAAAATACTATTAATTTAATTAAACAAAATATTTTACATTTTAGTTTATTTAGTGTATTATTATTATTAGTGCATAATATTATTATTACTGAACTACTGAAAGTTTATTTGATACTGTGTTATTGGTGTATATGGTGAAATAGTGTCAGAAAATGACAGCAAACCAAATAAAGATCTTTCAGTAAAGAATTGACTTTCTTGCAAACAAATAAAAGTTGACCATATTAAACCATATTTCAGAATTAAATCACCAATCCTGTATATAAAACTCAATATAAATGCTGCATTGCAAGTCAAAAGAACTTGAGTCCAGTCAAGAGGTTTCATTCACTGGTTTGTGTAATAAAACTTCCACTGAACTTCCAAAAATAACAGGCACCCACTGCTTAGATAAAAATAGCCTATTAATGACATACAGCCACAGTTAGATCATACCTCCAAAATAAAACTCTAAAAGTGTTAGATGGAGATTAGTCACTATGCTAAACTAGTATGCTAAAAAAGGAAAACACAAAAAAGGATATCAAAACGGCTTATTATTCTTGAATCGAGTGACTCCTGGTTGATTTCAGTGATTTCCTGGATTGTACTGGTGTCTGCAGGCTGATTATAAAACAAAATCTGCAGGATTCAGTCGAACAGATTTAAACATACCAAGCATTTTAAACAGAGCTGAATACAGCTAAACTGGCCAAAAAAATCTACTAAATAAATATAAAAGTGGTGAGGAACATGAAGAACCTGAAAAATCTCTGTGGTGGGTTTGTAATAGGATGCTAATGAAAGGCTTACTGCATACTGCACAGTATGAACTACACACTAGTAGTATTTTACATAATTGTCACTAACCATGACTGTCACACTGCATCCAGTTATTGATTATTGTGCTCTGCATTGTTGGACACAAATCTAGCACAGTGTGCCAACTAGTATGTAAATACAATAAATACTATACATACTACATACTGAATAAATAGCAAAGATAATTGATTGTATGCTATTCCAAACATGTATGCGCACAATTCCGTGGAATATTATTTATTTTGGGGACATTTAAAGGTGTATCTCCATGTTGTTGACCTACATTCTACCTAAAATGACTACATTAGTGATAGCTGTTATATGTAGATGAGTATGAGATGAAACTGGATACGAGTACCTGAGCCCAAGTTTGTGATTTTAGGTAGAATGTAGATTTATGAAAATTAAAAACCAAACACACACACGTTCCGAAGATGAACAAACGTCTTACGGGTTTGGAACGACATGAGGGTGAGTAATTAATGACAGAATTTTTATTTTTGGGTGAACTAACCCTTTAAGAGTTAAGCCTGTCGAATTTTTAACAGCAGGTCAGTTAGTGCAGAAATGCCCTCCTAAACAAAAGGTATCAGTTGAAGGGACTGGTCATTACTGGCTAGTTGAAGGGACTGGTCATTACGAGTAGACCTGCACAGGCGGCTTCAGTTTCCTGCTTCTATCGCGCAAACCACATTGAGTGTGGACCTTGTGGCATGGTCCGAGATGAGCAAACGGGTGGTGCTAGTGGAACTGACAGAGCCCTGAGAGGATGCAGTTCAGGAAGCGTACGAGCGGAACAAGTCACGGTACACCGGCCTGGTAGTGGAATGCCAGGGAAAAGGGTGGAGAGCAACGACTTATCCATTGGAGATAGGCTGCCGTGGCTTTGTTGCCCAGTTGATCAGCTGCTTCCCGAGAGACATTGGCTTCAGCTCTGGTGAGGTCAGGAAAGCCACGAGAGACCTTGCCGAAGAGGCAGAGAAAGGAAGCTTTTGGCTTTAGCTGAAGAGGTATGATAAGAGTTGGGGTGAGGAGAAGCCTCAAGGCATAAGGACCTGAAATATAAGTCCAGCCGCAGAGAGCGGCAGGGAGACGTCTATGTCCACTGGAAAGGGCCGTCTCCCTGCCGTGAGGTGAAGGGTGGCTCCCAGCTGATGACACTGCGGCTGGTAATTTGCCACTGGCAGAGGTGCGTCAGGCAGTAATGCCCAGCAGGTCTTACCATCAACCTGTTACTAACCATAACACAGCACAAACAGTTGTGCTGCTTAATATTTTTGTGGAAACGGTGACATTTTTCAAGTTTCTTTGATGAAAACAGCAAAAACAAAAGAAAAAAGAAGAATAAGAAGAACAAAAAAAAAAAAATTGAAATAGAATGCTGTAAGATTGTTTTGTAACAAGGCTTTATTTTCAAGTTTTATCAATTTAATGCATATTTGTTGAATTAAACTATTAGTTTCTTTAAGAAACATATAAAAAATTCTAACTGACCCATACCTCTTGAACATAAATTATTTGACCTCAACTTCTTGATATAAATTATTTGAATCACCATAATTTATAAGACAGCATTAAACTTGACCAGATGAATAACAAACCAGGTAAGCTAATTTGAAAAACTGAAACTAAACTAAAATGTGACTTCAATATGAAACATGAAATATTTCACTAAAACTGGCTAAAGGTCAATTCAGGGGAGTGCGGCTGATAATCTACTTGTGCTACAATATAGCACTAAAAACAGCAATGCACAGTAATATACTGCAACTGGATAAAAAAAGCATATTACAGAAAAAGCAGCACTATTTTTAAGACAGATGAGCTGTTGTCAGGTTGTGTAGTGGACACTGAGGGTCACTTTACAAAGTAATGAGTTACAAATATCACTATTTCCAGCTAATTACTCCCCAAAACTGATGAATAAAAGCACTAAAAACTACTGAACCAGCAGAGAACATCTCTGAATGACTGGATTGCAAGTGCTCTCTGGTTAGGAAATGAAGACATTATGTGTTACATAATCAGCTCTTTTCTCCTCTGTCCCTCAGTTTGGCTCTTTCTCTTTCAATGTCTGTCACACAAACGCACGAGTGTATGAAATGCTCTCAGAGGTACAAGAGTGGATGTTCAGTTCGGTCATACAGTGTGGTTAAAAGGCTGTGACGCACTCCAGCTTCCAGTAGTCAAAGACAGTCACACACAGTCTGTCACAGGTCTTGCAAGAATACTGTGAGCTAAAAGCATGATAGACACTATTTATCAAGAAACAGGACAGAGAATTATTACAATATCTGTATACTCTTTATTCATTAGATAAGCACAGGGTTCAAAACGAACTGTTAACTATTAACTTAAAAAAGAAAAACATCTGTGACACTGTACATTCATTACTTATTAAAATGTAATTTTGTACATGGAATTATTTAGCCATTTTACCATGTGTATTTGTGATGCGTCACTGAGTTTTTCATAGCAGCATACATAAGGCTAACCAGTCTCTGTCTCTCAATAAAACACGATGATTTCTGATTTTGTTCTTCATAGGTTTGTTAAGGTGAGAAGTATTCCACATATGTGTTGCCAAATGGAGTTCTGAGAAAAATGTGTCTGCATTCTGGTAACTTTTTCTTTGAAGATAGTAGTTAGCAGACATACAAATTGTGACAGATGTTTTCTTTAGTAGATGTTCTTTATTTGAATCATTCACTTCACTTAAATGAGCAAGATCAGATTCTCATTTGCACAATTCAACTTAAATCATGTATTATGTTGTGGTTTCTGATAACTTTGTAGCCAATGGAAGTTGTAAGAATTTGCAATCAGCTCCTGTTTTATGTACATGCCAAAGCCACCTTGATTTGTTTTTTATATCAAAACATAAGTAGTAGTATAGAAGTAGTATAGAACACACTCAGAACATCTAGAACTTCACCCAACCTAGTATCTTTGATAAGAAAATACATACATAACCAAAGCTGTATAAATGAATTCCAATACAAAGACATGCAAATACATGTGTAAATAATGAATCATAACTCACTATCCAGAAAATAAGTATAAATAATAAATAAAAATACAAAAGAGATGTAAAATATGTAGAAGTCATATTTTTCACAGTATTGACATATGATTTATGCATATTTTGATCTTTCATAGTTTTATTTATTATTCTATTTTTGAGAGACAGGTGTGCCTTAGGCTGGCCACAATAAAAGGCCACTCTAAAATGTGCAGTTTTATCACATAGCACAATGCCACAGATGTGTGGGAGTTTTGAGGGAGCGTGCAATTGGCATGCTTACTGCAGTAATGTCCACCAGAGCTGTTGCCTGTGAATTGAATGTTCATTTCTCTACCATAAGCCGTCTCCAAAGGCGTTTCAGAGAATTTGGCAGTACATCTAACCGGCCTCACAACCGCAGACCACGTGTAACCACACCAGCCCAGGACCTCCACATCCAGCATCTTCACCTCCAAGATCGTCTGAGACCAGCCACCCGGACAGCTGCTGCAACAATCGGTTTGCATAACCAAAGAATTTCTGCACAAACTGTCAGAAACCGTCTCATCGGGGTCTCGACCTGACTGCAGTTTGTCGTCGTAACCGACTTGAGTGGGCAAATGCTCACATTCGATGGCGTCTGGCACTTTGGAGAGGTGATCTCTTCACGGATGAATCCCGGTTTTCACTGTACAGGGCAGATGGCAGACAGCGTGTATGGCGTTGTGTGGGTGAGCGGTTTGCTGATGTCAACGTTGTGGATCAAGTGGCCCAAGGTGGCGGTGGGGTTATGGTATGGCCAGGCATATGTTATGGACAATGAACACAGGTGCATTTTATTGATGGCATTTTGAATGCACAGAGATACCGTGACGTCTATTTATATATATTTCTTTTACACACTAAACTAAACATAAGCTGAACAAAAATAAGAACAAGGAGGATATTAGAGAATTGGTTTGGATGAAGTTATTGACCTTTACGTTTTAGGGAGGTCAGCTAAATATTAATATATGGCATTGCGTGTTTGAGAAACGTAAATTGCATGTTATCTCACTGACCTGATGTGCTCCATCACTGGGAGTGTACACAGAGCTGAAGTTCTTCAGGTGGTCTCTGGCATGACTGACTCCCCTCAGTGTCTCAAACACGTTCTCCAGGGCAGAGTGAGCACGCTCCACAGTCAGCTCCTCAGGGCCTGAGATTCCTACAGATACACACATACAGATACAGATGAGTGTCTAAACATTACATCAGTGTTCATGGAATAATCACTCTTTCTGTCTTTCTTCACATGTAGAAATGTATGTTGTTTGCACAATGTTACAAATGGTACAACCCTTGTTTTGGAATTCCAAGGCAGAATCAAACTCAGTAAATATATATTTGGGTCAGTGAAGAAGAAATAAATACTTTTAAATAAATACTTCAACAAAAACACATTCAATTAATTAAAATCGACAGTAAGGACATTTCTAAAGATTTCGGTTTCAAATATATTCTGTTCTTTTGAATGTTCTATTCATCAGTCTGGAAGTAAAATGTATCACAGTTTCCACACAAACATTAAGCAGCACAACTGTTTTCAACATTGATAATAAGAAGAAATGTTTATTGAGTAGCAAATCAGCATATCAGAATGATTTCTGAAGGATCATGTGACACTGATGACTGGAATAATGGCTTCACAGAAATAAATTCGATTTAAAATTATATTAAAATAGAAAATAGTTATTTTAAATTGTAATAATATTTCACAATATTAGAGTTTTTAATTTTTAATTCAATAAATGCAGTATTATGAGAAGTATTACCAAACTCAAACTTTTGCATGGTAGTGTACATATTTATGTTTATATATAATACTGAAAATTGTGATTAATTATATTTTAAATAAATACACTAATAGAATATATTGTATACAATCTTGTAAGTATGGACTGTGGGTTCCATATTAGATTGAGTTGTATTGCTGAAAGGGAATCAGAGGACAAAAGCTCTTTTCATTGGAAGGCAACAGCTCCTGCATGAGTTAATCAAAATGTAATATGCACTGACTAAACACAGACACTGGGGAATGAGAGAGTGAGAGACTGCGAAAGAGAGAGAGAATGTCTCAGTTTCATTTAGGTCAGAAAGCGTGAACAAGGGTCTTCAACAAAAACAAACTTTGTTGTCATTCCAGCAGCACTGATGGTGCTGAAAGCAAAGAGAGACTCAGAGAAGACAAATGGAGGATGGAACAGCAACATGGGTGGATGAGGCTGGCACAAAGTCCTGTGCCAGCAGTGGAATGCAAGGGCTGGGTAATGAGAGAGCCGCCCATCCTTCAACCAGATCTAAACAATCTCACACCTGAGAAATAAGACATTCAGCTCTGCCAGTTAAACCCCTTTGGACCTGCCAAACCCACAGACGCATGGCTAGCGGAGCAGTACACTTACATAAGACTACAGGATGAAAAAGGCTTTATGTTCAGATGCACCAGCTCAGGCACATTTTGACGAGATGGATATCTACCAATGCTAATACCGTAGCTAATGTTCATAAAATCCCCCCCAAAAATCACAGCTGAAATGCAACATATGATATTGACTATTGGATCATAGTATGATTTAAATTATTCAAAATGGCTTCGGTTTTATGGTGCTATATTCAGCTTCAGTTTATATAACTAATGTGCCACAGACACGTGTTTCATTAAATGTATAATCTTACTTTACTTTTGAGGGGGGGGGGGAAGAAAGAAAAGTCCTGTGCACTATACCATAGACTGCAAAAACAAACAGTATTTTGCATGTTTCAGTCATGCAACCTACCTTAAAAAAAACGGCTGAAATTGCTGAATTTTCAACAGCCATTACTCCAGTTTTCAGTGTCACATGATCCTTCAGAAATCATTGTAATATGCTGATTTGCTGCTCAAGAAACATTTCTTATTATTGTCAATGTTGAAAACAGTTTAATATTTTGAAACTGTGATCATTTACACTGAGGATTATTTGATTAATAGAAAGTTCAAAAGAACAGCATTTATTTGAAATTGAAAACTTTTGTGTCTTCAACTTTTATGTCTTTAATGTGACCTTTTATCAATTTAATGCATCCTTGCTGAATAAAAGTATTAATTTCTATTAAAAAATCTAATGATCTCAAACTTGTAAATACATATGAAAATTACAAACAAAAAAAAAAGACAAAGATTACATATATAAACATATTCAACATGATTTGCAAACATTAAGTCATCTATAAAAGGAAAAGACTCCCAGGGTTGTGCTATCCCAACTGACAGAAGAGTCTCACTAGGACAATCTACATTGATACAAAACTACATGTGCAAAACATCAGTTACTTTAGATGTCAGGACCAGAGAATGAAAAATCAAGACAACCCATTGCAAATATGTCCCAAAGTCCTTTTGACATTCACTCATTCTTTTACAAATAGCTCACTTATAATCATGACTTGAGCTCTGCATGGTCCCATCATTAACATTTCTGTTTTTATAAATGCATGCACAGCGGTTATGCAATGCTTTCTGAGACTAGCACTAACTATTAATTTAGGCTTCTGGCTGTAGGCATCAGTCTGGTCTGCAAACACTCACTTGAGATGTTTACTGTAAACGTGTCACTGTGTTCAGTGCAGCAAGACATATAGGACATAAAGACTTTCTTAGAGTGGATGGATGCTCTTCCTAAATAAAATATTGCTCTGTGAACCCTTTGTGCCTGCAATGTGTGTGTGTTTGCAGTTATATAATTCATTCCACAAAAACGTATTGGTGGAAACCCAACACAAACAGTTGTGTGTGTGTGTGTTTGTGTAAAGCTATAATCTGCATTCGGTATACATATTTATAAGGATAAGCATGTTAATTCTGCTTGAGAAGTCACTGTTTAAACTGCCCAAAGATGTCATTCTTGGGTCCTGAAAGCCTCTGACAGCAACAAGTGTTTTTTTCCCATTCTAGATGGTTCTAGAAATTCTATTTAAAGCTTGATATCAAAACATACCACAAATAACAGGGAGTAAGTGCATGAGTCAGCCTCTCTTCTATCTATTTGTTACGACCGTATTTAATGTCAGCCCAAATATAACGGGTAGGTGCTACACACCGCCAGCAAATACAGTGAAAACTGTTTGGGAGGAAAATATGTATTGAAAAGATCATTTGTAACTCAAATTATCCCGTGGAAACCCATTTTAGTTTCAGAGCAAAAAAAAGGTCAAAAATAAGAAATAAAGTCATATCAGGAGATATAAAGACACACTGCTATATAAAGACACACTGAGATATACAATCGCAATTACTAATAGATCAGAAGACGCAATGTGAAGTCAAAAGTATGAGAAATGAAGTCATTATTATTACTTTTTTACTCCGATGTGGAAATAGCCTTTTATCTGCATACCTGACTCGCTACAATGAAGCTTTAAAAAATTCAATATCTAATAATCACAAATATAGGGTATAATTCAAATAAATATATCTCCACACAAGCATATCCTTCCATCAACAGTTGTCCCTGACTAAGAAACTGCAAGAGATCTGCAGCAGACAGTTCATGTGTAATGTGTGTGTGTTTTTATGTAGCCACAGACGGTCGTTTGACAGTGTGCCAAGAGAAACAGTGCAGTTGTGCGATGGGGTGTTGGCTGCGGTTTAGATGGTAATGGTGATCATAACACCAACTCCTGAGAGCCAGCCAGGTGCTCGTGTGAGAACAGACAGGAGTCACACACATACACGTGTGCGTATCCCCCACATTCTCCTCTCACGCAAGCCCTTTCCTTTGAAATACAGACAGTGTGTGTGTAACAGCCTCCACTGTTTTTATACTGATCTATATAGCAAAGAGGAGAACAGAAGATTGACCTCATAAACACCCAAACAAACACCCTAGATCTTCTTTTGTGTGTCCGCCTACTTTGACCAAACAACAGGGTACATGACCCCCAGAAAGAGGACAGTTGATTAGAAAGATACCAGACACAACAGAGAAGAAAAAGGTGCATGTGTGACTGAACTAAGCACATGATGCCAAATTAATCTGTGTGTAAAATGTGGCCTTGTACACTCTTAATGAGATCTAATGAGACAGAGGTGAACAAGGTTAGTCACCTACACAGAACTCACTCCACTGAAAAATTGATAATTGAACAAGATGTGCTTAATGGAGTTTGCTGTTAAAGGGGTAACATCACTGAATAAAAGTATTTGTAGCACCCATGCTGCTTTATTAAAATGGCTTCAAAATTGTATGTACATCACAATATGTAATTATCAGTTGCTTCTTCCATTACATTGCGACTCAATTTTGCCGCAATGTGTAGTTGCTGCATTTTGCTTTTGAACGACAGCACTCACAAACAAACATGCAGCAAAGCATCAGCCCTTACTAATGTGGAATCTGGAAAGTGTCTGTTATTTGTGACCAAATGCAACCTTGCGACAGTAGTCCAGCCATGGAAAACAGCAGATACAAATTCCTGAAAACCAAACAATGAGGGATTCTGAGAACAATCTCCTAAAACAAAAAATAACAACACATGACAATTTCCAAAAAATGGCTTACAGACTTTCCACACTAACAAAATCATTCTGGGGGATGGAAAGACGGCCTCCTTATCAGCTAATTTTGTATCAGCATGCGAGTATGTATCAGCTGAGGGACAACACAAATATGGCACCAACAGTAATGAACCATCCCCATGAATCATGAATTTTACTTCAATTAAAGCTACACATAGCAAAGTTTTACAAAGCAAAAACTATTAAAAGGACAAAGGCAAATAGCAAAATTACTAAAACTAAAACGAAAGCTGAAAATATAAAGCTCCATTAGTGTTACTTGCTTTAGTAAGATTGATATTTATTCCACTGATTACATGTACCTGCTTGTCTATTGCTGTCTATTCAAATAGCACAATGGTGAATCATAAACCCTGTAATCAATGCAGGTTGAAAGAGTCTGACAGAACAAAAGAACATTCCTTTACTTCATTCCCCCCACAGACAATAACATAATCTCCTGAATGCAATAAAGTCTACTAAACTGGACTAAACAGAGCCATCCCCTTAACAACTGAAAATGGTTCTATACTCAACGGAATGTAGACACCTTAATAAACTTCCTTTTTCTCCATCCCTGTCCTCTTTGCTCCCCTCAGATACACCAGCTTCAGTCTCAGGCCTCTTTTCGAGGAATTCAGTCTGTGGTGCTATTATTAGCAATGCTTGATTTAGTAATAGGACTAAAAAGGTGATGAAGAGCAGGATATGCATGTGTGTATTCATGCGTTGTGTATATGAGTCTGTGAATCAAAGCACTGTCTTCTTGGCCTGGGAACAAAAGAAGAACATCTCTGTATGTTAATCCGCAACAGAATTCTGGCTCAGACTTAAAAATGCTGTTGCATATTGGTTGGTATTCAAACAGCACTGTAAGAAAGTGAAAGAGGGAGTAAGAATGCAGTGGTCAGCGCAGAAACTGAATGACAAGTATGCTGAGGTGAAGCATGCTTTGAGAAGTACTTTATACAATTTCTGTAATTATTCCATTAACTCCATTGAAAATACTTAAACAATATAAAAAAAGTTTGACAATCTGCCAATCAGTCAGTAATGATACTGATACAAATCAATTTGACATCACTGAAAATAACGATAACTTGCAGGCATAGGCGTAGCTTGACGTTTGAGTTTGGGGGGGCCAAACCGAACCGGTGGATTTGGTCAGACGTACTTTTAAACACTTTTTAAGTTTTGCTATAGTAAATCTACATATTCACATAGAGCAGTGGCAAGTGCTTGAGGTTGTCATGGT